GGGACAGGTGAGAACGCATGGGCCACTCTTTGGTGAGTGCCTGCCGGTGCCAGGCGCTGGGCTGGGCAGGTGCCAGTGGCTACAAGTCCACGAGTGTGTGGGCATCTGCAAAAGTCTATAAAGCAGCTGACCTGCTGAAGAAAGGAATACTGGCTAGAGCCAGTCCTTTGTCTTACTGTTCTGTGTGATTTCAGGTAAGCCTCTGAACCTCTAAGAACCACTGTTTTCTGAGACTGGAAAGGATGCCTGCCCTGCCTACCTCCTAGGTTGTGGTAAACACAAGATTCAACACCAGACATACAGGTGATTGGAAAACTGAACTCATCTCATCTATTCTTCACTAATTTTTAACCGTAGGTCTTCCTAGACATCCGCAGGCCCCTGATGGTGGTAAGGGTGAGATCCTTGAACTGTTTCTAGTAAGTCACAAAGCCTAGCAGAAATAACTGCCATGACAAGGGTGCCCATGAGATCAATTAATAAATGCTAGATATCAAAATCTTTAAAAACAGGGGGTCCAGGAGGGACAAGGGAGGTACGTACATAAGAGGCAAGTTAAAGTTAGCAACCAGACATTAACCTAAGTCATTTTAAGGTAAAGAAACTGAGGTTCAGAGAGGCTAAGTGACTTGCCTAAGGTCACACAGCTAATAAACAGGAGAAGGAGAACTGAGGTCTATGATTCCCCACTAGAACTCATGGCTCCTATGTGGGCATGTAAAGCACCAATTAGCAATGCCCAGATAACCTTAAAGTTCTGTTAAGCACTAAGAATCTACAGCCCTCACCCATTCTCCCAGAAATGACATTTCCAACACCCAACCTGCCGCCTCACTCACCTCCAAAAGGTGAGATGACGCAACATCTGTAGAGAAGTGAAGTTACAGATCAAATGGGCAAGAGGAAATTATTGGGAGTTTTAGGGTTCTGTGTTCTGCCTAGGAAATGTGTAGTCAAAAACACAGACTTTTTTCTTATGCTATGATTTGTCTAAAAAGTCAGGGAAGAAATCAAAGTCTGTCCGACTGGCACAGCCCAAAGAATTATACTTGGAGCAGTCCAGGGGGAAACGCTAATTCACAGGAAAAAATCCGAACAGATAATGAACAAATGAAGGTATTCGGCATGACTAATAAGAAAAGAAGCGCAAAGTAGAACATTGTCTTGTTGGCACAGATGATTTGTTTTTTAATGAGGAGTTCTGTATTGGTAAAAGGTGGCGAGAATAGGGTCTCCCACACTAACAGTGGAGAATAAACTGGCACAACTCTATAGGAAACAAATTGGCAATACGTCCAGACTCGAACAAGTATTTGTCCATTTACGTTCACAGCAGTATTATTCACAATAGTCATAAGATGGAAGCAACCCAAGTGTCCACTGATGAATGAATGGATAAAAAAGATGTGGTATACACCCAATGGAATATTAGTCAGCCATAAAAAAGAAGAAAATTCTGACCCAAGCTACAACATGAAGGATCCTTGAAGACACATGCTAAGTGAAATAAGCCATTCACAAAACAACAAATACTACATGATTCCACTTATATGAGGAGTCAAATTCACAGAGACAGAAAGTAGAAGGGTGTGCTGCCAGGAGCTGGGCAAAGGGGAAACAGGGAGTTAGTGTTAAATAGGGACAGACTTTCTGTTGGGGAAAATGAAAGGAGCTCTGGAGATGGATGGTGATGGTTGCCCACCAATGTGAATGTACTTAATACCACTGAACTGTAGGCTTGAAAATGGTTAAGATGCTATATTTTATGTTAACGTGAATTTTTCCAAAATTTTTTTAAAGAACGAAATGCTAATATGCAGATCAACAATGCAAACTCTGCATGCCACCATGCTGACTGTTCCACTATTTATAATAGAGCAAAAGCATTTAAACATCTAATGCTAGAGAAGATTTAATAAACCAGAGTGTATTTGTACAATGGGGTGTTGCTCATCTACAGAAAAATGTTTCCAAAGAATCTTTAATGACATGGAAAAATGGTCCTGATACAATGCAAAGTGAGAACAGTAAGACCGAAAGCTATTTATATTATGGTTCTAATCATGTTTCTAAAACAAGCCTGGGTAAACCACTTGAAGGAAATATACCAGTGTTTTAACAGTGATTATCCATTATAGATGGATCTACTTCTTTGTAATTTTCTGTTCTTTCCAAGTCTTCCTTAATAAGCAATAATTACTGTTATTCATTCTCCCCTACTCTCTAAAAAAAAGACAAGACATACACAAACACCAATTCCAGTACAGGGTGGCAGTAGTGGCAGTCATGGCGGCCAGCAGCACTGGGAATCTACATTTGTGGTACCCCAGGCATAGCATCCCTTACACACAATCTCAGCCCTCCAACTGCAGGACTCTGCCTTTTCTTCATATGCCAGATTTCTTCTGAATGTGCAAACAACTTTCCAGTCCCCAATTTAACAAGAGACTGGGATTTGACATCCAAAATTAATCAACCTTGTGGTTAGCACAGAACGGAACTGAGGTGGATCCACACTTTCTTACTCTCAGATACAGAAAGCAAATCATCCACTCATTTTTTTTCCCCCAGCAAGATTCACTTGAATCACAGTGTATAAGGAAAGAAGAATACTGTCTTCTCTTTTTTCAGTTTCTAAACCGTCAGGTTCTAAAAGCTAGAATTATTTTCTCTGGCACTCAACTTTAAGAGGAAAAGGTAGATGAGGAACATGTAACTATCAGGGATTCATTCAAAAGAGCAACTTGCAGAATACACCACAAGGTTTAGAAAGATTCAAGTCAATTTCACTTTCCATCTCCTGGTGTTTTCCTAGACAACAAGAATCAGTATTTAGGAAGAGAACCCCAAATCTTCATATGGATCACAAAGTACCTTCAAAGGTCAAAATTTGTTCAGCATCTGGTTGTATTTGGTTGTTCTGAAAGTTGGTATTTGAAATACGATATATATGGCAACTCTCAATAAATCATAGCAGCCTGTTCCCCTGAAAAGATGTTTATGCTATATAATTGTTGAGGTAAAGCTAAATGGAGCCAGCTAAGTTCCAACATCAATTACTCCTAATCGGACCTCCCTCTTTTAAGTACTTTGCAGTAACACCCAATGGCTTGATCCACTGCCAGAATCCTTCTGTCCCCACACAACAATCCTCGTATGAAGAACCATGCCTGTCCCATTACACAGCTGTAGGTGAGTAAGAGTCTTTCCTGGAACAAAATGTTTCCAGGGAGTGAAAATCTTTCCATCTGTTGAGTTTCCAGGTCACTACCTCACAGGAGAGAAGGCACAGGGTATGTCAGAGGGCAGTGGAAAATGCCCAGCACAGGCTGACCTGCAAACGCCAGTGCTCATTTGATAGCATTTCAAATTAGACCCGCAGAGTTGGGAACCTCTGAAGCAATCAAGGGGTGGGTAGAAGTGATGGTGGTGGAGTGGTTCTGGACTGAAACTTTTATGATGATAATGGATTGTTTTTATTCCAAACTCTTCATTGACTTGGGGTACTGGATAGATAAGCACTAAGACAACATTTTTCAGACCTCACACACTGTGTCTTATCAAGCGTACCATATTTTCTAGCTGGGTCAGGAAACGACTATCAGTTCCAACACAAGAGGAAATAACCCATGGGGCACCCATTCTGTTGGAGGGGAGAGACGAAGGCCAGGCTCAGACACTCCTGCTCAGTGGCTGTGGCTCTGATGGAAAGGAAGTTGCCCCAGTCACTGAGGGAAAAGACTGACCAAGAAGAGGCTGAGTTCTACATTCTCACATGCATTTGAGCTGGCTCTGAGCTGGGAGGGTCTTTGGGTCATGCAACCACCCATTAGGTGGTCACTCAGACTCTTAAGAGAATGCCATCCAGCCAGCTCTTGGCATGGCTGGAGGCCTCGGACTCTTAGGAGAGACGTCCCCATCTTAAGCTGAAATTGGCTACCCATTCATTTCCACTCACTGGCCCCAGTTTCACCTGCCTGTTTTGACATGCTAGCCCCCGCAATCCCCACTAGAGTCAAGAAAAAGAAACTGAAATCTGTTCCATCTGAAGTTGACAAGACTCTTCATCTCTCTGTCCCCTTTGCTTCCAACTTGGCCCCATCCCTCCCCAGGACCAGAGGGAGAGGCCAGCCAGTCACTGTTTAGTACCTTGATCTTGGTGGGAAAGACCCCAGGCCCGGTTTCACAGCATCTTTGCATCTTTGCGTGAGATCGGATTATCTTGATTTCCATGACCATGCTTTTTGGCCCAAAATGGCAGAGGATGACCTGGATTCCAAGAGACCAAGGCAGGCTGGAATCTTGCAGAAAGTGGATGGATTCCTGGTCAGGACCTGAGTATTTCCTGCCTGGAAGAACCGCTCCCTGTGACTGGAAGTAAGCCAGGGCAATGATTGGGTTGGGGCCGGGGTTGGGGGGGAGGTAGTCCCTTTCCTGATGAGGACACTCCCAAGGGGAGACAGAGGAAGCCCCTTCAATTACTTTGAGAAGCCTCAGATCTAGGTGGGCAGGGTCTTACCTGTGACAGTCAGCTACCCAGATCAGTGGGAAGGTGACCAAAAAAATTTAATGTCTTAGGGTGGCTGGTTCCTGAGGTACACTGGCAAACAGACAGCCCCTGACCCTTTGGGTATCTCCTGCCAGAAATGTTGAGTTTTTCCAGGATCCCTAACATAATTTTAGGGAACAAAAGGTAAGATTCATTGAGCAACATCTCACTTCTGACATGCAGAGAAATTAAATACAGCTGAACAATTTTAAGTGGGGATGCTCTGTCTCCCTCAGCCCATCAGTTCCTCTCCTTTTGTCTAAGGGCGAGAATGCTGCTGATACAGGGCATCTGAGAGCTTATGAGATCCGGGAAATGCCAGGGGCACTGGAGCCCCTCTTGCCAGCACACTTTTCCTTGGGCATCTAACCCCTGCTCTGGGGGCCTTGAGGTTTTCACAGGAAGCGAAGAAAGAGAATACACACCAAAGAAAGATCCTGGAGACCGGGTGTGTTCCAAGTGTGAGATCAATTTCTTTTTATTGCCATCTTAACAAAATACTTGGGAAGGCAATCTTTGATTCCAGCATCAGAAGGCAGGGCAATGCCAGGCAATAGTCAAGCCATCGGGCTGTCGGACAGGGGAGTGTTCAGTTTGGGGGAGCAGGAACCCCTGAAGAACCACAGAATGGGGAGAAGGAGCCAAGGACACAGGGACATGGCAGTCGCCCTCCATTCTCCCTACACAGGGCAAAGCTTGGGCTGGGGTTAGAAGCAGCACTCCAGGAGCGGCCACGGCAGGCACTGGGCATAGCAGTCCTCCCAGCCCCAGCTATGGCTCTCGGGGGGCAGGTGTGAAAGGGTGGGGGGGTCAGAGGATGAGAGTTTCTGCCAGGGTCAGCCTCAGGCCAGGGAGCAAAGAGGACACAGAGCTAAGCTGCACCCACATCAGAGCTAAGCCTTTATCTGCCACCCGCCACCTCCCTCCCTTACTCTAAGAACCCGGCTCCCTCCCCACACTCCAGAACCAAACCTGAAGCCTCGAGACATTTGTAGCCAATGCATATGCAGCCCAAGCAAGCAGAGGCAAGGCATGCTGGGACCTGGAACAGGACAGGAGCCCTGCTGGACTCTGGGTTCTTTTAGAAGCCAGAGGAGGGGACACCTTCTGAATCCTGAGACTCGGGTCCTGCTTCTCTCCAGCCACTGGCTGTCAGTGTTAGTGCCAGGGTGTTGCTGAGGGGATGCACTCACCTCGTAAATGCTGCTGTTGCCTCCCACTCACACCGGGGAGAGCTGGGCAGGGGCAGGCAAGGAGCAACACCCGCCCCGCTCCCCACCCCGCAAGTCCAGATCTAGCCTCTGATGGGGAGCTGGAAAAATCCACAGACCTGGCTTCCAGTCCTGGCCCCCTCAACTGACTGCTGCTTCATTTGTCATCTATGAAATGCAGATGATGATGGTAATAATGATGATACTAATACCGGACTTGGCTGCCTCTCCGGCTGTGCTGAGGACCCACTGAGATCACACATCTGCGAGTGCAGGGAGAAGCATAAAGTGCTCTTAGAACGCCAGGTAGCCACCCCCTTCCTCCAACGCCACCCCATTCTTCTCCCTGCTCCACAAAAGGCAAGCACTGCAGCTGAGCACTGCTGAGCACACGCGCACGCGCGGGCAAGCGGAGGGCCAAGGCGGGGGCACCACCCCCTGGGGCTCAGAGGGGAGGACAGACCCCTCCTGGAAGGGCCGAGCTCTGCTTGGCCAACCTCAGGCCTCACCCCCTTTGATAGCAGCAGAATCAGGGTCTGGGAGGCTGATGCAGCAGCCCTGAGGATGGAAAGCTGGATTCCGTTCAGATGCTCCCCACTCTTAAATACCCTCTTCCCTGCAAGGCCAGCTGCCATGGGGTGCAGACCAAGAGGAGGCTGACCATCCAGGCCAAGCAAGCATCAAGCAGGTAGCTCTTCCTGCATCTTGAGCACCTGCCAAAGATGAGGGAGTAGGGCTGAATACGTGCTCTGTTAGAGCCCTGGACAGCCGACCTGTACTTGGTGAGGAGGTGACCGTCCCCCCAATTCCCTGCAAGGGTCATCGATCTTGGACACAAGAGACTGGCCCCTGTCTCAATCCATCTCTCTTCCTCCAGTGCAGACTGGCTGGCTTAGAAATTGTGCTTTCTCTTCCGAGACCTGGTAGTCCGTGCGGGGGCTGGCGCTGGGGGAGCCTCCGGGGGCTCGGCTGGGGAGGCCTCGGCCGGACGGGTAGAGCCCGTGGGGGCTGCTCCATCTGGCCCCCGCTGAGATGCCTGAACCCCATCCCGGATCTCTGACAGCGTCTGGCACATCTGGCTGACGCGGCTGGTCAGCTCAGCCACGGCCTGGCCGATGACGTGCATGCTGTTTGCCATGTCCCGGTGCACGGTCACCAGCTCCTGGCAGAACTGCTGAAACACCTCAGTCTGCTGGGCGTGGGCGTGGAGGAGCTGCCAGTCAAGGCCCGTGCTGGGCGGGCTGGCGTGAGGCCGAGGGGTCCTGCAGGCGGCCTGGGCCTGGGGCGAGGGCCGGGGCAGGGCCTCGGGCTTGGGGCCCACTGTCTCAGACTGGTCGGAGGAGGAGGAGGAGCGGAGCAGGGTGGGCCTGGCCAGGCAGACCTCTTCCTCCGGTGATTGCTGCAGGGGCACCCGCAGTGGCTGCCTCGAGGGCCCGGGCATCTCCTCATCTTCATCATCTTGGAGGATAAAAAACAAAGAAGGGCAAATGATTACAACCAGGAAAAAAAGGCACCCTTGGGCTTGGATGCACCCACCAAAGTTACCTAGCATCCCCCACCCTGCTGCCCCTCAGCCTAGTTCAGCACAGCTCCCCCTCCCCCTCCCAACCACGGAGAAGCACCTACTGCCTAAATCCCTGAGCTGCTCAGGCCAGGCATCTTTGCAGAAATGGGCAAGTGTGACGAGGTCCCCCAGGTCACCTTCCTTTCACAAGAACAGCAACATTCTACCAGGACCCCAGTCCCAGTGATGGCATGTCAACCTAACTGCTCACTTCCTCTCTCTGCAGCTCAGTTTCTGCAAAGCAAAGGTTAACAACTGTTCTGTCTACCTCCTGACCACTTGCCCACCCAGCAGGGTTGTTAAGAGGATGGCACAGGAGGACAGACGGGAAGGCACTGGGCAAAGCTCAAAGAGCCACACCTGCCAAAAGGTCCTATGATGCTCTTGGCTGCTCTGAGTTTCAGCCTTCGCGAGGCCATTTCGGAGTTGCTTGGGGCCACCTTGTGGCCTTACTGAAATCTACAACTTTAAGTCACTGCCGGGAGACTAGAGAAGGGAGGCAAGGGATGGCGACGGAAAGGACAAGTCCAGAGGGTGCAGAGCAGATCTACCTGGGCCACCAGCCCTGACGTCCCCCTCAGCACCCCAAGGCGAGCTACCAGGGCAGACACATCCCTTCTACCTGGGAGCACCGGATGGCACACAGAGACCATCAGACAGACTGCTGCTCGTGGCCAGTCACAAGGAGGGGCCCAGCCCTGCACACGCGGGTCTCCGCGGCGCTCTCATGGTCAAGGTTGCGAGCTGATTCCCATGGTGGGAGTAAAAAATATACAGGCTGACCCTCCTGACAGGCACACCTCCCTGCCTGTACCTGGGAGGCTGAATTTAGGATTACCCTGGAGGAGATGATGCAGGGGGTAGGGGAAATGGAGGAGAGGGCTGGGGGTGAGGAGAAGACAGATTGATCTTGCCCTGAGCTGCGTCCTGGGGTCTCACTCGGGCCAACACAGTCAGAGAGCTTAGTGCCTTGAGCCCCCCTACTTGGTGGACACCATTCTGGAAGGGCAGGGCTGGAAGGAGCTGGGCAGGCTGAGGTTATGTGCTGCCTCCCTTCCAGGGCCTCACTCCACGGAGCCCCAGTCCAAGTGCTGTAACAGCTGGGAAAAGGAAGGCTGGCCCAGCCTGCAGTGGAGGGGTCCTGGGCCCCCTGCTCAGCCAAGATCACATTTGGTAGCCTCATTACCTTCGGTCTCTGGGAGACAGAGGGGTGAGCAGGACAGAATTTAGAGAAGAGACTCCCCTGGGTGCTGGTCCCCTTTTTCTCATAATTGGGTAGCATCTTCCTGAAACTTGGGAAAACACTGATTCACAGAGAGCTGGCAGACCCAGGTTCAAGTCCTGATTCTGAATCTAGCTCTGAGACCAGCTCTGTTTTCTGGGGCTTAGCAGCCTCACCTGGACAACAAGGAAGTCAGACTACAGGGTCTCCTCCTTCCCTCCCAGTCCTAAAAAATCTGACTTTGAATGGCCACCTGTCAGGAGCCCCAGCCAGACAGGACATTAGCAAGATCCCTGCAGCCCAGGGGCCTGGGAATGGAAGGCTGGGTCTTCGTGAGCCACCTTCCCAGGGCTAGCCTGGCTGGCTTCCTTTGAGTCCTCCAACCTTGCTGGTCCCTCAGAAGCCAGACAGCCTCCAGCTAGGATTGTGGGCTGAGGGTGGGGGACAGGTGTGTGCAGAGGCGGAGCTGAAGAGGGTGCAGCCCCAGCACGGAAGGGCCTTGAGTGTTCCCCTTTCTAGGGAGCCCCGACAAGAACTACAGCCCCAAAGGAGCCCGTCTAGGCCAGGAGATTGCACCCCAGTGTCTGGGTCAGAGCTCGTCCTGAGACACAGAGGGGAAAAGGGAGACGAGTGCTGAGGGAGGAGAGAGGTGGAGAAGGCCACAGGGAGGGGGCCCCGTGAGCACAGAGAGAGGGATCTTAGAGAGAGCCTTAGGATGGGCAGAAAGAGGCAGCTTGGCACCGAAGAGGGGAGTGTGGAAATAACACAGAAATAAAGACACTAGGAATAGACAGACAGAGAAAGAACTAAGCTTTCGGGGCCTCGGACTTGGCTGGCTTCCTCTCACACCCCCTCCCCCTCGCCGGCTGCACGGGGCTTCCCTGGCTCCTCTCTGTTCCTGGAACGTGCCAAGCGCCTTCCTGATGCGGGGCCGCGTACATGCTGTTCTGGCCTGCGAGGCCCTCTCCTCCCCTGCGCTGCGCCCCACGCGCACCGGCCTGCTTAACTCTTACTCATCCTTCGTCTCAGTTCAACAGTCACTCCTGCAAGCCTTCCCAGCCCAGGTGGAGAGCCAGCCCACCACTCCTGCTCTCAGAAAGGGCAGCTACATAATTTGCAGGGCTGAATGCAGCATGCAAATCAGGCACCTTGTTCAAAAATTAGCATGGGGGGTAGGGTGTAGCTCAGTGGTTGAGTGCTTGCTTAGTATGCACGAGGTCCTGAGTTCAATCCTCAGTACCTCTGTTAAATAAATAAATAAATAAATAAATAAATAAACCTAAAAAAAAAACCTAGTAAATTAAAAAAAAAAAAAAAACAAGTATGAGTTTCAGGAAGGCAATGGCAGAGCAGCTAGCCCAGTTTAGGGCTCTCGTGAGCTCACGAAGTCAGCCCTGCTCTCAGAACCTCTTGTATCTGTCCTTCGTTCCTTCTTTACAAATTTCCTTGCAATGATTTAATTAAAGGTGTTTATTCTCACAAATCTAAGGGATTTCCCAAGAGCAGGGCTGAGGTAGGTTTTACACACAACTCTGCCTTCCCGTCTCCCAGCACAATTCCTGGCACAGCATTCAGGAAATACTTTAGAATGAACGAAGGGAGAACAGTAGAGAGAACAGAAGTGGGAGAAGGAGGGAAGGATGGAAAGATGGGTGGGGCAGAGAGGGACAGGAGAGAGAGACAAGGAAGGTGCAGGCGAAATCACAGTGGAGTGGGTGGGGAACAGGCAGGAGGAGGCTGGGGATGGGAGACGGACAGTACTCACAGCTGGTCGAAGGGCTGTCGGTGCCATCCAGTTCTGCCCTGGGGAAGCCGTGCCCGGAGCGGGCTGTGAGCAGCGCCGACTCGATGGCCCTCTCATGGGCAGTGAGCATGATGGTGGGGGCCCGGCCCCCAGTCCCTAGGCCAGACAGGGACTGCTGCATGAAGGCCAGCTTGTCCTTGGTCCTCCGTTTCATGTCATCCCATCTGTGCTTAATGTCCTTGACGGAGCGGGGGACCTGGCTGACGGAGGTGATTTTCCGAGCTATGCCTTCCCAAATCTTGTCCCTGTCGGCATGGGACAGTCGCATGGTCTCCCTCCCAAAGAGAACCGCTTCGTGGTGGGTCACCTCCGTGACCAGAATGTCCAGCTCCTCCTTGGAGAACTTGGGCTTCCTCTTACGCTCGGCCAGGGGCGCCACGTTCCTTGGGTTGAATATCCCACAAAGCACAATTGGGTAAATGACCGTCAACGCGGTGGGCCTCCTCCTTCCTAATTGCCGGCCCCCAGCTGGGGAGCCAGGAGGCACCTGGGCGCCCTCGTCCGCTCACCATCACCACACCCTCCTCCTACTGACAGGTCCCTTCCACTACTCCTTGGAGGGCGGGAGGAGACGCGGCGTACGCGGTGGGAGCGCTGGACGGAGCCGGACGCCTTCGGTTTCAGGCCCTGCCTCGCCTCTGCCCCACTCTCCCCATCCGGAACCACAACCACACCAACCTCGGGGGCTGTTACTAAGGAGGGAAAAGCACAGCAATGTAAAAGCTTAAAGCCCTAAACAGGAAAAAAGGACCCTTACTGGGGTTAGGATGAGGCCACTGCCTCTATAAAGGGATATTTACATAGGGCCAGAGAGCCCAGCAGCCTGGAGGGAGACTCTTTAAACAAAGAGACTATTTAGAGTGGGCTTCCGTGGTGCGTGGCCTCGCTGGTGCCACCCGTGACTAGGGCGTGGTCACAGAAAGCTTGTTCTGTCCCGTGGCTCTCTTCCCCTTGCCAGCCTCCCAAGTCCCTACCTCTGGGTGTGTGTCCTCCGACTGGAGCCCTGGCGGGTAGCAGCTCCTTTGGGGGTGGGCTGCTGTGGCTTTTTGGCAGCTCATGAGTAGAAGAATGTGAGGGGCCCATGAGCACCCATCGGGAGACAAGTTCCACTTTGATGGAGACCAGGAATGACCTTGGCTTCCATTTGCTCCGAGCAGCCAGGGCCCTGGGCACGGGCCCAGCACAGCCCTTACCCCTCTGACAGGGAGCCTGCTCTGGCTCCACAGCTCAGCGTCTCCACACTGTGGTTCTGTCCACCCTTTAACTCACGCCAAAGGTCCCAAAGATTCCCACAAGAGAGAAACCTGGGGTATGGAGGGAAAACTAGAGCCCGAGTCCCTCCTCTGGCTGCTGCTGAAACCACAGCAAGAGGCCGGGGCACAAAGATCCTTCAGCCCTCACCTTCCCACCCCACCCACCCAGAACACCGCAGCCCAGGAGGCAGGAGAAGGCCTCGGCTCTATTATCTGGCCAAGTCAGCGGCAGGGGCCTGGGTCTTGCACTCAGACACGCCTGGGATTAGAGGCTGAATTTCCTGTGCAAACCCTGTTTCCACCTCTATAAACGAGAATGATGATTCAAGTGCCACCTCCCAGGGTTGCCAGGAGTTCATGCCGGACTTAATCTGGCCACTATTGGCACTGGGTGCTGGAAAATTCTTTGTTGGTGAGGGAGGAGGCATCGTGGACAATGTAGGATTTTTATCAGCATCCCGGCTTCTGCTTGATAGACACCAGTAGCATCCACTCGCAGAGTTGTGACAACCAAAAATTTCCCAAGGTGCTGCCAAATGCCTCCAGGGGACAAAAGAGCCCCTGGTTGTGGGCCACCAAGGTCATGAACACAGAGCACCTAGCATCGCACTGCCATCAAGTCAGCACTCATCAGGTGGGTGCCCAAATTCTATTCCCAGCCAGCCACTTATGTTTTAAAGAAACTGACCAACTCCATTCCATCATCAGCAAGACCGGTAACAGTGCAAGTGAAAGTGTCTGCAAATTAGAAGGAGCTGTACAAATGGAAGCTGTACATTACAGGGGAAGGAGGGTTCCCAGGATGAAATGGCTTTCCCCTCGCTCCAACTACCACCAGAGGGGCATCTCCCTGGCAACGAACCACCCCCATCCTCTTCCTGGATTCTCTAATAAGATGCGAGTCCACCAGCTGTGACTATCCGGGGGCCGTCTTGGATGAGAACGGGGCTGGGAGCAGGAATAGGATAGATCCCAGGCCAGCAAGGCAGAGGTAGCAGAACCCACCCCATACGAGGCCCAGGAAGCCATGTTCTGCCTGGTTCCTTGTGCACAAACAGAAAGAACACTGGCCCAGATGTCCAGTGATGGTTTCCAGTCCTCATTCTGCCACTGACCGTATGATCTTGAATAAGACATTGCCCCGCTCTGGGCCTCGATTTACCACTGTAGCATGAAGATCAGTACAGAGCCGTGGTTCTCAACACCAGAGGCGCATAGAATCACTATGGAAAGCTTCAGAAATTACCAAAGCCCTGGGCTCAGTCCCAGCCCGATTAAGTCAGAATCGCTGGGGAACCAGATGATTACTCAGTTAGTACAGATGATGAATCCCCTTCTTTGGGGTTGTGGTAAAGCCTTGTCTGCAGGCTGAAAGGCTGGAGATGGGTAGAAGAGTGGGACAGATCAGCTCTACTGGCCAAAGCCTCTGGAGCCTTGAAAGCGACAGCGCAGAAAGGAATGACCCCGACTGCACTCAAACACACCCTCCTTTGCCTAAAGCCAGCCCAGAGCCACAGGCTGAGGCCTGGGCCACGCAGCCCATCTGACCGCCTGCTGGACACCTGGTGCCCGCTTCTTGCATCTGAGCCTTTGCTCACAATGCCCTCAGATGAAATCCTGGCCCCTTTGAAGGCCCAGCTCAAAGGCCTCTGCCTGCTTCATCTGGGCCCTCGCAGCACACTGTCTATGCCTCCATCAGACAGCTGTATTAGAAAAAGCAATTTCCATGGCGGAAGGTGTGAGTCCTGGGAAAGCCAGGAGGAGAGGGCTGAGCCCATCCATCTAGGGCACCCATTACAGGCTCCGACTTGCCACAGACACTCAGTAATGGGTGGTGAATTGCTTATGCTAAACTGACCTGCACCCAGAGATGGGGGAGAAGACGACGGCAGTTAGAAGTGTCCATCCGCCTTCTTAGAGCCACTTTCAGGTATGGCTGACCTGATGATGTGAAAGGGGGCTGGGAGAGTGGGTGCCTGCTCCTGCACCACAAGCTGGGGCCTGCCTGTCCCTCGGTACCTCCGCTTCTGAATCTAAGTAGCAATGAGAATAGCCTCCCCGACAAATAAGAGGATGAATCCTTAAGTGCTCTGGAGAGTGCAAGCTGCAGCCCGCCCATCAGCAGGCCTCAATCAGGTGGAAGCACACGTGGGCAGGGGCCCCAGCGACGGGGTCAGGAGGGCTCCCCACGGCCCCCCTACCTCAAACCAATTTCTCCTTATTTGCTTGAAAATTCTTAGGATTTAAATCCAGCAAACTCCCTCTTAGGAAGTCCCTAACTGCCCTCCCTCCAAGCACAATCTCTCCTCCACCCCCCAGCCCCAGCCCCAGCCCCAAAGGGCACAGAACCATACAAACACCGACAGAGGGACCGATCCATGGTGCAGTTGTGCCCCCTGGTCCAGCCATCCGAGGCCTCCCTTCCCTCCCAATCCAGATTCCAATCCACGTCCCGGGTCCTGAGTCCCAGAGCGAGTCCACCAAGGAGGCATGAAAGCAAGCCCGACCTCCCACACTGCCCATGGTACCCTGGCACGGGCCAGCAGCGGAGACCCAAAGCCCTTGGTCCTGGGCTCAGCTCAACTGCCTGTGGGCGACGCTGGGCTCTCTGGCGTGCCTTGAAGGATCAATCTCTGGCACAAACTCTTGCCCCAAACACTGGACCAGGGTAAAACCACTAAGTGATCAAAAACTGAGCTGAAGACTGTGCTGGAAGTGTCCTCTTCCATGGAGGACAGAGGCCTTTTAAACAACGGCTAGGGGCTGCACTGTGATGATTCCTGCACCACTCCAGCCAGAGTCTGCCCGTGAGACATGTCACAGTCCTGGGGCGGGGACACCCCCCACCTCCACGAGGGAACGCTGCCAGGAACCTGGGGCCTGTGGCCTCCAGACACACTGACAACTGTGTCCCTGTAACGGAACTGACCGGTCTGGCCACTGGCCTCCTCTAGCGCCTCCTGATGGAAGCCTGGAGGAGCTAGAGGGTCAGTTCCCCAGAACGAGACACATCTGAAACCCCGCAAAGAGCAGTCCAAGGCCTTCAGGGGCCTCCACCACTGGAGACTCTACAGCCCCAACACGCTCCCTCAGCCTCCTTTCCAGAGTTTGGGCAAGGCTCCCGGGAAATCAGCATAGAGCAGGACTCACCTCATCCAGTTGGCTTTAGTCTCGTCTGAGCCATCTATGGACTTGTAGCGGTTGTTCTTGTCCACAATCTGGAAGACAGAGAGAGAGTCTAGATGGGCTATCCTAGAGGGGGATCTGCTGCCCCTGGGCTCCTCCCTAGACTGGGGCCCAGGGCTACCACACAGAACCTTCCATGTGCCCTCCTGCTGTGACACTCCCACTGCTGCAGGACTGACACCCATGCTGTGGCAGGAGTCCCATCCCCCTTCTCTGTCTTGATGGAACACCCAGCAACATGGCCCACAAGCAGCATCTCCAACAGCATCATGTTGCAGAAACAGCAGTGAAATCCAGCCCTTCCTCTCGCTCTCTCTGGTTTCTGTGGGAGATGGAAGCTGGCACTGGGTGAACTGGGCATATGCGACTACAGAGGGCTCCTCCTCTCCCCAGTTCCTAAATGATCACGAGCCTCAGGGCCTGGGCTGGGCCCCTTCATCTTCTGTAAAACTGTCTTTATTTCATCATCACTCTTGAATCAGAGTTCAGCTGGATATGGAATTCTACACAAATGAAGTTTATTTTTTCCTAGCACTTTGAAGACTGTCTAAAAGGCTGCCATAAGCTCTTAAACAACCTACTGTTACTCCGTTCTTTCATGGATATTCTGTTTATAATAAATTTTAAGACTTCCCCTTTATTCTTAATTTTCTGCAGTTTCACTGTGTGGTTTTGAAGTGGAGACTTACTTTCCAAAATTCTCCGCATTACTAGATGAGCACATTACTTGATGAAGACTTACATCTCTTTTTCAATTCTGGAAAATTCTAAGCTGTTATGCTTTTGAGTGCAGCTTCTCAGTTATTTTCTCCAGTCTCTTCTTGCAGAATTCCTATTAAACATATATGGGAGTAGCCCAATCTATTCTCCATATCTTTTAACTACTCCTTCATATTTTTCCCTCATCTTTCTAGGTGATGCTCTCAGAAAATTTCTCAGAATTCTCTTCCAATTCACTAATTCTCTCTTTGACTGTGTCCAGTTCAGAGTATATCCATTTATTGAGGTTCTTCCTTTCTCTGTCTCCTTCCTTTTTTTAATGACTACTCTTCATGCAATGAATATTTTTCATTCCCAGAATTTTCAGTTGGTTCTTTTTCATACCCATCTTTTCTTATTCTGCCTCTTTTTATTTCATAATGTTGTGTTCCTTCTTTTTCCGTTTAACAGCTTTACTGAAGTATAATTGACCAATAATATACCATTTGATAAGTTTTGACAAATGTATACACTCATTACCACAATCAAGATAACAAACATAGCCATCACTCCCAAGGGCTTCTTTACACCCCCTGTAACCCCTCCCTCCTGCCTCTCTTCACGTCTCCCATCCCCAGTCCATAGGCAACCAGTGAGCTACTTTCTGTCACTTAAATTACTTTGCATTTTCCAGAATTTTATATAAATGGGATCAAATGGAAGGTATATCTCCCTTCTTTCACTCAGCACATTATTTTGAGATTTGTTCCTATGAACGTGTGTATCAGAGTTCATTTCTTTGTGTTGGTGAGCAGTATTCCATTGTTTGCATGCACTACTGTTTATTTCTTAATCTACTTATTGATAGACATTTGGGTTATGTCTAGTTTTTGGGTATTGCAAGTAAAGCTGCTAAATGACATCAGTAACAAATCTTTGTATAGACACATGTGCTTTCATTGCTCGTGGGCAAATACCTAGTAGTGGAATTGTTGGGACACGTGGTAAGAATATGCCTAATTTTTAAGAAACTGCTAAACTGTTTTCCAAAGTGATTGCACCATTTTACATTCCCACCAGCAGTGTGTGGAATTTCCAGTTGGTCCACATCCTTGCCAATACTTGGTAAGAACAGGCTTTTTCATTTTAGCCATTTGATAGGTATGAAGCAGTATCACACAGTGGTTTTAATTTGCATTTCTCTGATGACTAATGATATCAAGTATCATTTTATGCACCCATTTGTCAGCTGCCTATCTTCTTTGATGAAATGTCTATTCAAATCTTTAGCTATTTTTTTTAAAGTTGTGTGGGTTTTTTCTTATTGCTGAGTATGTTGAGTTTTTAAAAATATATTTTGGATACAAGTCTTTTATCAGACATACGACTTATAAATATTTACTCCTAGTCTGTGGTTTGTTTACTTACTCTCTTAATGGTGTCTAAGAGGGGAGGTTTTAAATTCAAACAAAAACCCACTATCTTATTTTCCTTAATGGATGTTATCCTTACTTTATTTCTTTGAAGATCCTAAAGCTGTGAGTGTTATATATTATCCCTTACATCCACTGTAACAGAATCCCTGGATTATAACTGAGTACTTGGCTACCTGTAATAACAGAATACATTTCTTGGCTTCTCTTCTGGCTAAGTTCTGGCCAAAAGAAGGTAGGTGGAAGTGTCAGTTGTCATCTTCCTGAAAACTTCTTTAATAGACAGCTGACATATGCCTTTTTACCATCCTGCTGCCTGAAATGTAGATGAGATGGCTGGAGCTCTAGCTATCAGTTTGAACTATGAGGCCATGATCCAAGCATTGAGCCAGTGATTAGCTGGATCAAGCTTGGCCTCTGAGGACTTGCTGAGGCAGAGCCACCTCACTAGGTTCAGATATATTCACAGAGGAAACTTTAACTCCTGTTTCACTTGAGCCACTGTTATTTTGAATCTCAGTTACTCACAGTCAAACCTACTCCTCATACAGACTCTAAACAGTTATTTTAAATTCATTTTCAGAATACTATTTTTATCTTAATTAGCATGAATTCATTTGTCATTGTTTTTGAAGGCTGTCTTTTTAACACTACATTTCTTCACTAGTTTTGGAGATTTGGTCCAGAGGCTCATCTTAAGTAGAAGTCTTCCTGCCTATCTCTTGGTTTTCTCATTTTAAGCAGTGAACCTGGCTTCACACTCCACCTCACATGGGGCACTTCTGTTTCATATTGCCCTACAGGAGCTGAAACTCATGGCCATCTCTGCCTGCTCTAGACTGGAGCACTGTGGGCCTTTGTTTTCAGTTCTGTGATCACTTTATATTTCTCCCTCCCCCCTCTCTCTCTCTTCCTTCTCTTTTTTGGCTGTGGCTCAAAGCATGAGCTCTCGATCCACCTGGATTGGAAGCCCCTTTGCCTCCTCCACATACAACTTCTTTACCTTTAACTCTTTCTCTGGATATTCACATCTATTCCCACTCTCTCAGTTTGTTCATTCACAAATTTTTATCTCAAGCCTTAGGCATGAATATCTAATTTCCCATGTGAAACCCATCCCCACCCCCTGGATGTCTCACTGGTGTCTCAAACTTACCTCAGGTTCAATCCCCTCACGTCTGTTCCTCTTATTTTCCCCATTACACTCTTTGAAACCACCATCCACTGAGGTTCCAAAAAGAAAGTCATCCCTACCAAAACCCAGTAGTTGCACACTTCAAATGAATGAACCGTACACTATGTGAATTACAGCTCCCTAAACCTATTTTTAAAAAAAAAGGAAAAGAAAAGAAAGCCATCCTTCATTTCTCCCTCTCTCCATGCCCCCATGTCTAATCCCTCAGCAAGTTCTCCAAACCACATTTTGAAACTGCCCCTCTCCGCTCCTTCCTGCTTCCATTCTGATCTGAGCCGTGACCAGCTCTCCTTCGGACACCTACGAGAGAGTCCAACTAACCTCCATGATGCCCTTCACTCAGCTCCCCGCTGATTCTCCTCAAAGCTGCCAGAAGAATCGTTTATTAATGTAAATTAGATCATGTTACTCACCAGCTCAAGAAGGCATCCACCTCACTTACAATAAAATTCATACTTAGAGTCACCGCCTTCAAGGCTTATGTGACCCGGTCCCAGCCACCCTCCCAACTTCTCTGGGGCCTCTCTCTCCACCTTCCCTTTCCTGCAGCCACGATGCTGAGAGTCAGACTTCACCCTGCCTACCACCTTTTTTCCCCACTCTAAAGAAAATAATAATCATGAACTATTTCAAGCATTTGGAAATTATTATAGACAGTAATACAGCTGACAATCCTGTACCTGGCGAGAGTCAACAAAGATGACCACCAGCTGTGTCTGTCCCAGACTCCTCTCTCCTCCGGAGTAACATCTAGTTACTCCGCTTCAGGAAAGTACCTAGATGTCGCTGAAGACCATCTCTGCCTCCAGCTCATTCTCTCTCCCTCTGCCCCTTTCCTCCAACGTAACCACCATTCTGAAGCTGGTAGGAACCTTCCTGTTCTTACTATTCAAGGGTTTTTTTTCTAAAGACAACATACAGAATTATTTTGCATGTTTGTAAAGTTTACAGAAATGGCACCAAGGGAACAGATTCTTTTGCAACTTTTTCCCACTAAGTTTTACGTGGCTGGTCCCTTCTTATCTTTTGGGTCTCGGTTTCTGTGACCTCCCCAGAAGAAGTTTCTCCTGACCTGAACAGCAAACAGGTTCTTCCCTTCCACGCCCTGACCTCCACACACCTGTCCCCTCTCAGCATTATCTCTAGGACACCGTCGTGTTGCTTCCTTTTAGAGACCTGATCACAGGGCACACTGCTGTTGGTGATAGTGTTTTCTTCTTGTCAATGTGGTGAACGACTGCCTCCCTCATTGGACCATAAGCTAGTGAAGGCCAAGCCCATGGCTACCTGCTCATGGTGGTGGCCTGGTCCCGGTTCCTAACATAGAGCGTGGTACATGGTAGAACACTGGTGGAACCAATGAATTATTGGATGAAGAGCCTTTTAAATAAAAAGTAAGCTAAGGAAAAAAATTTATATAGTGTTACACTTGAGTAAAAAGGAAATGAATGATGTGCTGGGCTGGCTGTACTAACAAGAGCTGACTGTGAAATTTTCCAGAATTTCATGAACCAGTTGTTAAACACAGCCATAAATTAAAAATTACATTATTAAAAATTATAAACTTACAATGCAATAAGTTATATCTTTTAAAAAAGCAAT